CAGATCTCGTGTACTATTGCCGAAAGACTCGAGAATCTCCAACAGAATTTTCTCTTGGGTGGTCGGGGTAAGGAGTTCAAGTATCATCTTATCAGGTGGGATCATATTTGCAAGCATGTTCAGATGGGCGATTTTGGTATTAGGAGGTTGATCCCCTTTAATAGGGCACTCATAGGGAAGTGGCTACGGAGATTTGGTTGTGAGAGACATCAATGATGGAGGAGGGTTATAGCGTGTCGTTTAGGGGAGGAGAGAGAGGGTTGGTGTTCCAGGCCGGTTAGATCTGTTGCTAGCATGGGAGTGTGGAAGTTTATTCGAAAGGGATGGGACGAGTTTTCTAAGCATATTAGATTCAAAGTTCGGGAGGGCAGGGATGTCCAGTTCTGGGAGGATTATTGGTGTGTTGATTACTGATAAATGGCTCTGGAGGTTTAGGATTGAGAGACATTGGCTTTGGAGGAGAGTTATCACGAGCAAGTTTGGGGAAAGCAGTGGTGGGTGGTGCTCTCTTGTGATGCGTGGTCCAAGGGGGGTGGGGGTTTGGAATTTCATTCGGAGGAATTGGGATGATTTCTGCAAGCATGTTCGTTTTCGAATCAAGGATGGTAGGAGGATCAGTTTTTGCAAGGATCTTTGGTGCGGGGAGCTTCCTCTTGCTCTCGCTTTCCCACGGCTCTATAGGATTGCTTCTCACCGACAGGCCATGGTAGTTGACTGTTATCACCTTGATAACGGGAGACTGATTTGAAATGTTCAGTTCAGAAGGAATTTTCAGGATTGGGAGATCGAGGATGTTTCTCGTTTTTTGGATCTTCTATATAGCCAGGTGATCACTTTTGGGGAGTCAGATTGTTGGTTCTGGGTTCCTAATTTGCCAGGCCGTTTCGAGGTTAGGGCTTTTTCAAATGCCTTTCGTTTGTTCCCGGAGACCCTTTCCCCTGGAAGTCTATTTGGCGTTCCAAGGCTCCCCGCAAGGTTGCCTTTTTTGCTTGGACCTCCATCCTGGGTAAGATTTTAACCCAGGATAATTTGAGGAGGAGGAATCAGGTGGTGGTCAATCATTGTTATATGTGCTTGTGTGATGAGGAGACAGTTAATCACCTCCTTTTACATTGCAGTATGGCCAGAGACTGTTGGGATTTGATGCTTGGATTATTTGGAGTCCATTAGGCTATTCCTTGTTCCTCTAGAGAGTTGATTGAGGCTTGGAGAGGCGTCTCGTTGGGGCTATCATTCAGGATGCTTGGAGGGCCACGCCTCTTTGTATTTGGTGGTGTATTTGGCTCGAGAGAAATAGGAGATATTTTGATGGAAAAAATAAGCCTGTTTCTATGCTTAAGTTCTCTATTATTTCTACTTTTGTTGGGTTTCAGGGTGAGATTATAGATCTACGGAGGAGATTATTGTTTTTTTGCCCTCTTTAAAGGTCTAAGGCGCCCTTTAGCCCTTTTGTTTCTTTGGGTTCCGCTCCCCTTTTGAGCGTTTTTTTATAAATCTTACTTATCAAAAAAAAAGTATAGTGAAGAACCAAGTTAGAGATGCTTGGAGAGGCCATTCCCCTTTGTCTATGGTGGGACTGTGGCGCGAGAGAAATAGGAGATCCTTTATGCTGAAGAGTCTCCTATTTGGTCTCTCAAATACAATATATTGTCTCCTTTATTCTTTTGGGTTCATAGGTGGAATTGTGTATATATGGACATTCTTTTGGATTTTGTGGATAGCTTGAAATTCTAGTGTCGCCATGGGTGGCTTTTGTTTTCCCTTTTTTGGAGCGTTCCCCTCTTGAGCGCCTTTAATAAAATCTTACTTATCAAAAAAAAAAAAAAAAAAATAGAAAAGAAGGGAGGTCAGTGGTTCAAAGCCTATAGTGGGTACTTGTGTGTGAGTATTTACCTAACCCAAAAAATAATAATAATATATATATATCCAATTGACCTACCAGTGGCAAATTCTTATTAATGTGAAATATTGATATTTCTGGCCAAAACAGTACGAAGATATGGACAGATTGGGAAGGATGTGCAGGAATTTCCAATTCACCAAAAGAATTTGCATAACATAAAATTTTATGCTTCCACAGATCTACCTATTGCAGAGTTTCTATAGGTTCATGTAAGCATAGATTTTGTTGTGGGGCTTGACATGACTGCATACTTTGATGTGGTGGACCATTCTAAAATGATGCAATTTATACCATGTCACAAGCTCAGATGCTACAAATGTTGTTTATTCTAAAGGAAGTGGTGAGGTTGCATGGACCCGTCTTCCATACTTCTCCATCCATTACTTCACATAGAGACGTTAAGCTCAAGAGGCAACTTTGGAGGACACTGATGTAAACTTGGGACAGAACTGAAATATTATAAAGCATGCCACCCACAAATAGGAGGTCAAACCAAAACAATTAATCGAAGGTTGGGCATTCTATAGAGATACCTTGTCAAGAGATAAATGAAATCATATGATTTGATCGCAAGCTGAATTTGTCTACAGCAACTCTATTAACAGAACCGCCAAGAATACAAAGTTTGAGGAATATATGCGCTTAAGCCTCAGAACACTCCAGATCTGGTTGCAATTCCACAGAGGCTTGAGTGAGTGATGAAGATGAGGCCTTTGTCAATCATATTCAACAAATCCATGAAGTAGTGAAGAAGTGATTGAAGCAAGCAATGAAGCATATGCAAAAGCAGCAAATCAACGTCAAAAAGTAAAGGAGTTTTGAGTAAGGTGACATGGTATGAGTTCAATAAGGCAGGAGAGATGAAGAAGATCAGCTTGAATGATTGATAAATAGTGATGCCATCAGCTTTGCAGATCAGTCTGATCCTCAATGTGTCAAACTCTGCTCATATGAAGTATTTAAAGAAGATGCAACCATAGTTACTGAAATTTAATCACAGCCATCTCTTAAGAAGGTTCCAAATGTCATTAAAGATCTATTAGAAGACAAGTGAAATCTAGGAAGGGAAACCTGAGCAGGCAGTTTTAAATTGGTTAAGCAAACCAGTAAGAGAAAATATTTGTATTGAAAAGAAACTGAAGAAGGTTGATTTTAAAATGCATGCTAAGTTTAAGAAGAACTTCTCATCAGAGACTTGGTTCTTCCAACTATGAGAGAGTGATGTAGGAGCAATGCAGATTCCTATCAATCCTTCTACCCAAGCTTTGCTTCAATTTTTTTATACCATTAGATGCCACCAAAATACTAGTTTTTAAGAAAGTCAGGTGCTCACCATATGTCCTTTAATTTAAAAGTCAACTGCCTATCATGTGAGTCACTTAAGTAAGATCAGTATTGCCCTTTCCTTCATTAAGACATTACTTAACCGTCAATTTAGATATAAATATGACTTTAAGATTGTGGCTGAATGCTGATGTATCTTTCATTATTCTATTCTAAAAACTCATTAAAGATCACCCTCTTGCTGCATCAAGTTCAGATTGTGAAAATAGGACCATTATTGAGGAAGAAGGTTTCTCCTAGTCTTACGTGTCATGGTTAGGTATCATTAGTCAAACTGGAACTATTTTTTTTTATGATAAGTGCTCTGATAAATGCCTCAAAGTAGACCTAGAGAGTTGGGAGAGAAGGAAATATGTTTCGTCAAACATGTAATACTTCTTAAAAAAATTAAAACTACTTAAAAGCTGTCAATACAGAGTAATGATAAAGCATGTAGTAAAATAAACAACAAAAGCTGTCCCACGCAAAACACAGCTCTTTAAGTGGAAACCCCCATAATAAGGGTAAAAACTAGGGTACCCCAGGCCATGCAGAAACAACCCTAGGTACTAGATTCTGAGAAACCTATAGAATCATCAAGTTACCTCTTAAATTAGTAATTGAAGTTAAAAAAATAAAGAAAGAAAGAAAGAAAAAGAGAGAATTAAATTTGAATATTCTATTAGAATCCATACTTCCAAAAGACATTCCATCTTGAACTCCGATAGTGCCAATCAACGGCGCAATTTAATCTTCTCTTTGTGAGTTATCTCCATAACAAGCCAAACTTGGTATTATGTGATTGTTTTTTATAAGCATTATGTGAAAAACAACTCAAAATCGCAGCTAAACATTCCTAAACCATTATACCTCCATCTAATGCAGTATCGTGATGAATTGAGAAATATGTGGATGCTCACACAAAAACTTGGGTGCAGAAATTCTTAAGAGTTCACAATATGATCATAGTAATTTATGCGCACTTGTACCTAAGACGCACTTGTACCTAAGAGGCACACATGTTTTCAACCCTTAAAACACACACACACACATAGGATATGCAACTTAAAATCCTAAAAGAAATAGGATTCTTGTAGTTAATTTTAATTAGAAACTTTGAATTTCACTGAAGTTGGCGCCATGGATCGATCTATATATCGATACTTAGATAATCCTCGATTGTCAATCAATCCATCATTGGTTTAGTGGTACGAACTCAATCCAGAATGTGTCAATTGATTCACATAAGGTTTGATTAATCCATCTTTGTCCAACACGCTTAAAAACCTTATTTTTCAATATTCCAAACCATTCTATTAAACCCTACAACATTCTTAAGGCATCAATGCATGAAAATATTAAATGCAAACTTGATTTGGTGAATAATCAATTTGTGAAGTTGAATTCAATTTTTCACCTCAAGATCAAGTTTATCCCTGCTTAATCTTTATACTTCATAGTTGTCAATCGCATATAGATCAGAACCTTTTTTTTTTTTTTTTTTTTCGGTTAGGTAAGTCCATTACTCTCAAATATTTTTAAGACGTAACAAACAAGATTAAAATCTAGTTAGATGACATACACAACTACAACACATCTAGTTTATTTCCCTTATAATTTCAGCTAGAAGACATTGATTGAGGAACATAAAACAAATAATCTTGATTTTAGAGCAAAACTCAACAAAAAAAAAGCATGAACCAATGCCAATTAAAGTATCATGCTACAGATGCTTGTAATTAAACCAGGGTATAAGAAGAATAGAAAGACATACCCATCATTATCTTGAGTACGAGGTCTAAAACGGGGCTCACGGTTTGCCATTTGAGGACTGCCCCTTGGCCGAAGCATCCTCTTACGCTGCTGAACTCCATAATTAAAAGCTTCCCTCTCCTTCTCCGTACCTCCTTCAGCATCCACACATCCATCATCTGATTCTTTGTCATAGCACCTACTGCGCTTTTCAGGTCTCTCGCCTTCTACATCAGCATCTCTTTCTTTCCTTCTCTCTCTAGCTTCCCTCTCAACATTTTTCCAGCTGTCATGGTCTTTCTGTTTCTTCTGCTCTAGCATTAAATTTTCCGGATCCAACGTTCTGCCAGATACATCCATTGGTTCCTTCTCATTGTGTGAAACCTCTTTCTCAGTTCCATTCCATCCTTCTCTCTTGAAATGATCCTTCTCCCTCTCCTTCAGTTTCTCCTTATCTTTCAAAAGATCCTTTCTCTCCCTCTCCCACCTCTCAGCTTCTCTTTCATCCCTAATTGATTCTTTGCCCTCACCACTTCCACTACCTACTTGCAAGTTGTTCCTACGATCTCTTTCTCCCCATTCCCGGTGCTTCCCCTCTTTCCTCTTCCTATCTTTCTCCTTGAATTTATCCTCGGCTTTCAAATCAACTTTGTTCTCCCCAACAGCCTCGTGTGCTTCGACGACGTAATCCCTCTCCTTCTCTTCCGTACTCAAGCCTTCCTTTCCAACCTCAACTGGGCCATACAAATTAGCATGCCAAGCATGCCAGGTATCAGCCATTCCACCTGGAGCATCAGAATACCTTTTTCCCCTGTGGTGTTCTTTAGAATCTTTCGAATTTAGGTGAGCACTCACTGCACCATAAACATCCTTTTCCGTCTTTGCATCACCCTTATATTCATGATCAGGATATTCTTTGTTATCGTCCCCTCTGCCCTCAACTCTTACATCTTTATCACCTTTAATTCCATGGTACAACTCCTTTGGTTCTGCCTTGGAGTCGCGATTCTCAACCTTGACATCCCTGCTGTTGTCTTTAGAATCTCTAATTTCCAACCTATTTTCCAAAGCAATTGAATGGTCAGAATGCTGTAAATCGTTTGAGGATGATGGCACTCGATACATAGGAAGCAGGGGCGACCTCCTATCGGCATCACGCGAATCAGCACGGGGAATCTTCGGCATCCGAGCTTCCTGCCCTATATCATAGGAAGTGTTATGGTACTCATTCATGGCCGAAGATGTCAGCTTGGGTCCAACGCTGGAGTATGGAACGGAATCATATTGTGGGTGTTTGGAAGAAGATGAATGACCGGGACCGCCACCGCCACCGCCACCGCCACTGCCGCCAACGCCCTCCTCGTGCAATCTTTTACTGGGAGTACCACTCATAGTTGGTGTTCGAGACAGTAAAACTACTCAACAAATTTTATACAATTTATATCAAACAAAAACCAATATAAAATCGGATCACTCATTCATTTCCACCTGCAAAATCATAACCACACACACCGACAGGCTTGGTCAGAAACACTCCCAAAAAAAAATTAGAATTAATAAAATTAACCTTTCAATTCATCGACTTTTACATTTTTAGGTCGATTTACGATGCCTCATACATAGGTTTTGCATCTACATATAAATAATTAAAAATAGAACATTAAGGTTTGATTGCGAAGAAACTTACCAGTCACTGCCAATGTCAATCGCGGAGAGAGGCTCTTTAGTTACGAACGACTGGGAGAAGAAATTTCAGGCTAGGGCTTTTTTTTTTATTAAGTAATAATAATAGTAAATAACAAAATAAAAGGGAAAATTACAAATAACCTCCCCCTTAAAAAGGATTAATTATAACAACCACCCTTTTAAAAAAACAATGACCTTCTTTTAGAACATCTCCAATACTAAAAGTCATTTTTGCATGTCAAATTTATATTTTGACAGGTACTACAATGTCAAATGCTACATTTTAACAATTATGCTCTAATGGTGCATTTCATGCAAAATTCTATTTTTTGACACAACCACCATTCTTTTTCATTATATTTGCATAGTAATATTAATATTAAGCACATTCCAAGTCAAGTTGTAAATATTAGAAGGAAACTAAAATTAAACCTAATAAAAAAGAAGCAAAAATCTAAAATATCAGGTCCAAAAAAAAAAAACCACACACACACAACTCAACTACTATCTTAAATAAGATAAAACTTGTTAGTCTGTATTCAGGTCAACCGCAGTTGATAAACGATCACAATCAAACCCTAGCCCCAAATCGCCAATTGATTTCTTTGGATCCAAATTCGATCGATTGCGACTTGTTTCTTTCACCTAAATTCGATTGATCAAAACCAGACACTAGATTAAAACCAGGCATTGTTCCCGGGAAACTCAATGTTCATTTGGTTCCTCACACGCACGATGATGTTGGATGGTTGAAGACTATTGATCAGTACTATGTTTGTGATGGCCCAAGTTTTTCAACCCGGTACGTCAGTGATGACCCGAAAGTTGACCCGATATCGGATCCGAAATGCGAAAGTAAAAGATAAAACCATAGTCCTTTGAGATATAAATCATCTCTAAGGCACTAATGTGACATTCCATGATGTCACGAAACTTAAGGAGAACGAAAGAGGAAACTAGAGTTAAAACGGACTAAATCCGTTAATTAAGGGCAAAAAGCTCAATTCACACATAAAAAGGGAAAATTTAACTCTAAACAAGTCAAACAAGGTGAATAAAACCTAATCTAATCATTTCACAACATTCCATGAGGTTCTAAGAACTTTGGACAAGAATCCCGCAAAATCGCCCTTTCCCGATTTAAACAAAAACTGACATTACCTCACTAAAACATGAATAACTCCCATTGTAATTGGAATCTGAGAATGGCATAGATACCATTGGAAATCTGACTCAAAATTCTTGAGTTTAGGCTCAATAATCACCCCATTTGGGTTAGAAATGAAAGAGTTATGACCCTTTAAAGTTGAAATATCAATGCTAAACACAAATCCTGGAAGGTAGGTGCATGAGGGCTATTTCGGTCAACCGAAATTTACAGAAATTTTGCTGAAATCATGATTTTAAGTGAAGGTTGTTTCGGTAGACCGAAATGGACCATCGGTCAACCGAAATAGGCCATCAGTCGACTAAAATGGTCCTGAACAGTGAAAAAGGCTACTGGAATTGATGATTTACTGTGGATTGAAGCTTCCAAAAGCCATCGGTCGACCGAAACCTCGAAAACTTGCTATAAGACCTGTTATATGCCCAATGTGTTGAGGTTTAACCCATGCTTCAAATCCCCTTATAAATTGGTTCAAAATGAAAGTTTAAAACTGATTTTTCAATGAAATTTGAGTATGTGAGCATGTCAACAACCTATAAATGAATAAATATATGTATTACAACAACTTATGGCCTTATACATGTTAATTATAAAGATTTCACATGTCAAATCCCCAAAGTTGGATAAAATACATTTTTGTAGTAAAAGTTGGTACCAAATGAACACAAGTGCTAAAATAAACATGCTCGCTCTTAGCCTCATTGCTTACATGCTTCTAATGCCAAAAGTAAATGCTTAAGTATCATTACATATCAAAGTAGCTACATTAACTTCTAAAATACCATACATCCATGGTATACAAAATATGTTATCCAAAAGTAAAGCATGCTAAACAAGTGTATGTCCATACACAAAAATGCTTCAAATGGCTCATGAGCCTCTAAGGTTGATGAGCATCCAAGAACATAGTCTCCTTACCTGTAAAACAACCCAAACCACTAAGGTGAGTAATCAAGTTACTCATAGGAACAAACATATGTGTATACCCTAAATTTTCAATATCATTGCAAGATTAATATAGATGAATACAAGGGAGCATTCCACTTAACGTCTATGTTCAAAGTATTATAAGGGATCACCTTAAGCTAATGCAATGATTCCATCATAATATAATAACAATATCAATGTACTTAACAACATAAATTCGCCAATAACCAAAATCACAAGTCACAATTAAACATTAGTTGTCAACTTAGAAAAGAATGCGAAATCAATTAGTGGAATACGTGGATATCAAATTTCGGATAAAGCCAAGACCTAAACGGTTATTCTGGGCATTAACCCGCTGGAAATACCACCCTAGTGCACACTATAAATGGGGAGAACTCATGTCTCCCGCACTAGAGTCAAACTTTAGCCATGCCACTTGTAACAATGTCCCAAGATAATCCAAAATATAACAAGTTCAAAACTCACACATAATTATTAAGGCATATACACCACAATAGTAGAACAATTCAAATCAATAAGAGTTCTATACAACATTAATAATCCTACTCAAGATACATACACAATATACATGCTTAAATCAATAAATCCTAAGTCAATCATAAGGATTTCCTATAGTATGCAATACAACAATTCTAAAAGTATGTACACAATATATATTAAACCCCAATGGATTATAAAACACTTAGAATATAAACATACTACCACCCCTACCTCAATAGAGAATTGAATCTCTATAATCCAAGCAACCAAGCTAAAAAAAAATGGAAAACAAAACAATTTAAAGAGGGGAGTAAGAAGAAACTTTTGTCTCCCAAGGTTTTTGGTTTAAGGTGAGTGGAAGGAGGCCAAAATGAAGAAGAAAACTATTAAACAAGCTTTTCTCCAATGGTGGCTAGGTTTAGGTTTATGAAGAACAAATGAAATGAAAATGATAATGTGTAAAATGGTGAGTGGAAGGTTTAGAAATCCTCCACTCACTATGTGTTCTTACACTACCTCTCATACACACACAATGCAAAACTAAATGGTGAGCCTACATTTATCACAAATCAATGACTCCTTCCTAGGCTTAATCTTAAGCCTACACTTGTCAACCATCTAAGCCAACAAGTGCCCCAATTCTAGGCCAACAAGTGGGTGAATCTCCATCTTCCAAATGTCAATAGATTATGCTCCCAAGTCACTCCACCCCATTGCCAACAAATGGCATGAGAATGTGACACTTGTCACATTTTCCAAAAGTTGCAAAAAGGTCCTCTTTCAAAATATCTTACAAATTAAATTGCAAAAAAGTCCCTAAGACGAAAAATAATTATTTTACATAATTACACTAAAACCCAAAAAATCAAGAATAATTACATTAAAGTATATATACATGCCATTTACGAAAAAGTAAGTAGCTACAATGTATTTTCTACAAAAGTGAAAATGCAAATGTCATGGAAATCAAATATCACGAATGCATGCAAAACCGGAATCAAATCTGAGCACAAAAAGTGAGGTTATGTAAGGAAAAATGATAAATGGGAAAAAGATGAAATAGGGAAAAGACAAAATAGGAAAAAGACGAAAAAAGAAAATCACTGAAAAAGGAAAAAGGAGGAAAATGACCGGGTCATTACAATGTTGGTTCCAACAACACCATCCAGGTCCTCTATCTCTCTATATGCATGTGTCCGTGTGCATGTATATAATATATAATACATCAGTATCTCAATTTTTTTCTTTGTTTTATTATTTAATTTTTGAACTCCATGGCACCATATTCCCTCATGTATGTATGGGTTTTGTTTTAATTTTTTTTTCTGTAATTCAATTTTATGATGAAAGTCTGTAATTCTATTTTTTTCCTGTAATCAAGGTCTGTAATTCTTGTTTTTTAAACCAAATTCTATTTGGTGTAATTCCTTTTTTTTTTTTTTAAATATATATATAGAGAGAGAGATCTAAATAGCTTCTCTCTCTCTGGAATAGCTACTGCTATTTCTTGTGTTACAATTGGCATAAGAAATAACAAAGTTAAAAAGTAGCAGGTGATATAGCGTTGCATTGGAAAGCCTCTTTTTAAGCCTATCTGCTATATTTTGAATTGGCAGCCCATATAACAGGGCCATTGGAAATGCTCTTAGTTTTCAAATATGACCTTAAAATATAACAATGACAAGACAAGGCCATTATTTTAAATTTTTATGTAGCTAGCATGTAGGGGTGCACACGGTCCGGTTTGGACCAGATTGGGAGATTTTTGGAACCAAACCATTTATAACAGTTCCACTATTTTTGAAACCAGACCGAACTATAATGCTCATGAAACCAAACCAAACCAAATCGCAAAAAACCGGTTTGGTTCGGTTCGATTTGACGGTTTCAGTTGATTTTCTTTTTATTTTATTTTTTAAAAACATAATTTATTATTTTTCCCAGTATATAATACATCAACAGGAACCCAAACAATATGGACTTAACTTGTAAAACAACAAACAGATTTAGTAAATCTTGTAGACTAAATTAACCGACAATCAAAATAGATAGCATGTCAACAACAATCAAAACAGATAATTCAGTAAACTGTTCCAAAAACAAATTGTTTAATAACTAAAAATCTTAGAAGAAGAAAAGTAAATGCCTAAACTCTAAGCCTCCAGCAACTTTGCATTGCATGATGACATCTCCTCAATCCAAAGAACAAAAGTTTACTGAAAAGTAAAAAGAATTTAGTTAATCATTATGGTACTACTTATTAAGAAATGACACTTAAAAATTACTAAACATATATCAACAATAAAATAATTTACCATTAAATGCGATATTTTTCTACTCGAACTCCATCTCAAAAGTCGTTAAGCAATAGTTATGGCTGCAAAAATAAATTATTTTATTCAAATTAATAATTAACAAATACTTGTAATAAAAAATATATGATAAAATTAAAATTAAACTGATTCAAGAGCTTCAATTTCTTCCAATTGTGCTTCAACTTGAATTGGGAGTGGTGAAGGTCATGATGCACGCAACCAATCTTGTCCACAAATCAAGCATTGCACAATGTTAGGAGTAAGAGAACTACGGAATTGATCCAGGACACGACCTCCCGTACTACAAGCAGACTTAGAAGCAACAGTAGAAAGGGAATAACTAAAATATCACGTGCAACCTTGGAAAGAATCTCATACCTTGAACAATTTACTTTCCTCCAATTCAAGATGTCAAATTTTGAGTTTTCATCTTTTTCACACACTTCCTCTAAATATCTGCCCAATTCTGATTTGCTTCCCATTATTCCTCCTACTTCTTCCAAATGTTTCCAATATGTCTTTTGGCGCATTGTGATTGCTGTTAGACCACTATTCCTATCACTTGCACCAACACCACTGCTTGGTTGATCAACCACCATGATATTAGAAGTTTGACTTGAAGATGAAATGTCCACATCTAATTTTTCATACTCACGATAAATACGCTTTAATACCCCTATTACCTTTTCTATGAGAGCATTCACCATGTTATAATCATAAACTTGGCTATAACAATAACCCACATAGTTCAACTTAAAGCGAGGATCCAACACAATAGCAACCACTGACATCATATTCACTTTCTCAATGCTGCCCCAATACTTGTCAAATTTCACCTTTATTTTGGCAGCTATGGCTAAACGAGGATCCAAATTTTTTATGCAATCGGACAACTCCCTTTCAATTAAACAAACTTCATGAAAATATACATTAGCAGTAACATATAAAGAACCTGACATGCGATTAGTGGCATCATAAAAATTTTTCAAAAAATCCTTAAAAATTAGAGCATCATACCAATCAATTTTGGTAGGAGGGCCATCATCAAGTTCTTAAAAAAAATATCGGTCCTCTTCTTCCATACTCTCAAATGCCTTTTGAAATTTTAATGCAACATTTAACATCATATAAGTGGAATTCCACCTAGTTGGAACATCTAAGCACAAAAAACTTTTACATATTATCTTCTCCAAAGCTACAAAATGCTTAAAACGTTGTCCTCTTTGTGGAGAACTCCTAATATACCTCACAACCCCACGGATTCGAGCTATTGAAACTTTCAATTCACTTAACCCATCTTTTACAATTAAGTTAAGGATATGTGCACTACATCTCATGTGAAAGAAGTCACCATCTAAAATGAAAGAGTCACGTTTCTTATTAAACTTGGTCTTTAATTTATCAACAACAACATCATTTGAGCTAGCATTGTCAACAGTAAGTGTGCAAAGTTTTTCTATACCCCACTCATTCAAACATGCATCTGTCGCTCGACCAATTGCCTCACCTTTGTGACTAGAAATTACACAAAAATTAAGAATTCTTTTGTGCAATTTCCAATTCTTATCAATAAAATGAGCAGTAAGGCACATATAAGAAAGGTTTTGGAGTGAGGTCCATGAATCCGTAGTGATGCAAATTCTTTAATTTGATCTAATCAAAGAATCCTTTAATTTTTTCTTCTCACTAGCATACAAAACCAAGCAATCCCTTGCCACTGTAGTACGTGACATGATTTTAAACCTAGGTTGTAACACATTAAGAAGATTTTGAAATCTTTCACGTTCTACAAAATTGAAAGGCAACCCATCCATGATTATCATTTTAGCAACTGCTTCTTTACCAAGCTCTTGGTCAGACTTCCAAACACCCAGGTTATTATCACAACTATCTTCTGTTGTTGATTGAAAAGATAAAATTTTTTGTTTCTTATATTTATTGTAAGGGTACATCTTACACCTTGTAATATGTCTGCCCATTGTACTAGTCCCATTCCCACTCACCCATTGATATTTTACATTACAGTATTTGCATCTAGCACCTCCTCCCTCTTTCTCAATCATTTCTATGAAATGTTCCCACACTGGAGATCTACGAACCTTCTTTTTCTTAGTGGATTTTTTAAGAAGAACAATAGGATCATTTGCATCTCCAGTATTTGACATGATATCTAGCATTTAAAAAAAAAAAAAAAAAAATCAATTTCATTACATGAGGAAAAGTGAAACAGAAACAAAACTTAGAAAGGAAAAAAAAAGAAAAAGAAAAAGAAAAAGTGTAGCCATGACATGTATCAATCTATTATATTTTTGGGTCAGATATATATACATATATGTGTGTGTGTGTGTGTGTTTGAAAATTAAGATAGAAAGAAATAACCAAAGACAAACCTTTGGGATGCTTTGGATCTGGAGAACAACTGAACAAGAAAAAGGTTTGTAGTGATGGAAGAAGGGTTTTAAGATTTCATGGCAGCCAAGGGCAGAGCAAGGATTATAATTCAGAGGGGGCAAAGTTTTAAAAAAAATAAAAAATCAAATAACATTGATATATCATATAACACACAAAAAGAAGAATTTTAAGAAGAAAAAAGGAAAGAAAATTGAGATATATTTGAAAGGAAAGAAAATTGAGATATGATTCAAAAAGGAAAATTTGACTTTTTTTAAAAAGAAATTTAAGGAATTTAAAGAACAAAAGAAAGAAAAAAGTTATAATTTAGAAATTAAAAATTTAGGGGGCACGTGAGATGTGAAAATTTTACTTGATTTAGGTTTAGGGTATGATAAACATATATATATATATATATATATATATATATATATATATATATATATATATATATATATATAACATAGTAACGGTCCGATCTAGCAGGACCTTAAACCAGGACATGACCAAAAAATTATGGTTCCTTAATTTTGGGCCAAGGACTGGACCAAACTGCTATACAATTAGCCCAAACCACCCAATTCAGACCGGTCTGGTCCAATTTTTCGGTTTACCAGATTTTTTAAACACCCCTACTAGCATGTAAGGACCGGTTTATTTATTTATTTATTTTTATTATTATTATTTTTTTCACGTTTAGTTTTTTTCAGCATGTTGGGAATGAGTTTCAAAGTGTTCAAGATTTTTCCAAATCTTTCCTAGAGTTCATAAACTCTTAAAAACGCTTTTGAGACTTTCCCTTTTTGACGGGTAAGTGGGCCTGAGGTGTTGCTCGTGTGGGCTCGGGATAAGTTAAGTGCTCGGGATTTATTTTCGGCACTATTTATTTATTTTGAAACACATTTGGTACTGGTTGGTTTATTGTGATACACCTCGATTCCGGAATACGAGTCGATCAAGTCCGCGCACGACACCGAAGGATAATTAAACAATTAAGGTAATAAACAAATAAGGAATACAAAAGATAATAAAAGAATAAATAATAAAGCTGAAAAGAAATAAATAATAAATCCTCCATTAAATATTCAAATACTCTGATACCAATAATCCTCTAGATTACAACTCGGGAATCCATAATGTGGACCCCTAATAAGATCCCAATTAGAAATAATAATCCAAACAAATGTCTAAACTGAAACAGAAAACATAAATTATAATCTTACGTAGAATCGAAAAAATAATGAAGACTGGTCTCTGTTTTGCACGAACAATCTCTACACTTGACGAACACCTGAAAAATAATAGTGGGTCAGGTCCACGAACAAGCTCTACTCTATTACATCCTAAACAGTGACCTGATACACATATACATCCTAGTTAACTCGTATAATAACTACATTGTCCATATATATAGATACACACTAAAGGACTCTCACTGGATTATAGGGCGGCCTCAACCTGAATAGTATGCAACATGCAAAAAGCACACATAGTGGGCATGAGTACTATGACCTACTAGGGCGCACAACTATCCACTATATTCAGACTTGTATCCCAGGCAATATATTCTCCCTATCCACCGATCCTAAGGACTCAAGTTTATATCGTGGCACATATCTATATATATAAATCTTTATCCTATACAGAACATAAAATAAACTATCTGCCATAGTCTTTCAATGACATATCATTCACATGGTTCCGTGGCCTGACACAAATAGATGTGACTTAACTTATTAGCCAATTCATCTAAAATATTCCCCCATATCGTAACAATGGTGCATTAATCTATAACATAACCAAACAGTGGTTTCCAATCCAAACAATGGTGCAAGCATGTATATACATCAAAATAATCCAGTAATAAACATGATATAATCATAAAATATCCATTGCATTTATTGAAGAAATATTAACAATTTAAATAGCATGCAGTTAGCTTACATGACAAGTAATTAACATACATCTCAATTAAATTATATACACCTCCATAAACATTATTAAAATCATTTAAGCATTTATTTCAATCGTTAAAACAAATCAAATTAATAAACTCATCCATTAAATAACTTATAAGCTATTTAAAATTCTATATTGCCCAATTCCTTAGCATATTAAAATATATTATGTATACCAATCCTTTATTGAGTCAAATAGAACTATTTAAAAATATCAAAATAGACCCGAATAGCCCCTGGCACGAAATCCCATCAAAATCCCTTTACAGGACCAAACTGGTCGACCGATACAACAATCGATCATCCGATTTCCTCAAACCGGTCGATTGATGTCCTCAACCGGTCGTCCGTTTTCCCAATTCAGTTGACCGTTACTCCAAATCGGTCGACCAATTCCTACGGCAGATCATCTTCTTCATCTTTAGGGACCTCTGCTCCCTCCAAACTCCATTGTTAAAGGTCCTATGCATTAATTCTACGTCCCAGAGTGTCACAATACCTATTTTAAGGTCATTAAATATCATTACATCAATTTAAAACACAAACCATGCATCAAATCATACATTATATATATAAACCTATATATAGATACACATATGCTATTTTAATCTAATTTTAACATGCAAAGAGATTTATTAATTTAAATTAAACATTATGGAATTGATCTAGACATGTACAGAACATATAGTCAAAGGGGAAGAATATAAGAAGAACTTGTCTTAAGGTTTTTAAATTGAAAACTCAAATCTCCTTCTCTGATTCTGGGGACCCTGGGTTGCCTTCACAACCTTTTATTACTCCTGGTTTAGGCCACGAATAACCCTTAATCCTCCTTGATTCGGCCTTCACCCTTGGCCAAACCTCTCTTTCCTTCCTCTGGTTTCTATCTCTGCCTCCTCTATATATTATATATGTATAAAACAAAACCCCTCCACAAACTTATAATATATATATATATATATATATATATATATATATATATATATAGTAATCTAAGCCTTACTCTCAATCCTTTCCCAACACATTTGCCTTAAGGAAAAAGAAAAGGAAAAAGGAAAATAAAATAAAATAAAAGGGAAACTATATATATATAGGTCATCAGTTTATATATATAAATATAAACATTAATATATAAATATAATACTACTTATCCATATATTACTATTAATACTACTACTACTACTAATAATAGTAATAGTAATACTATCATTTTTTATTTTATTTTTCCTGAATGGGGGTATTTTTATAAATTTTCAAAAGTAGTACATTTACAATAGGAGAAAAATCTACAAAAACTGAATATGAAATGAAATTCCACTTTCAATAAAACAACCAAAATCAAAACATAAAAATTATAGACCAAAAACAATCAAAATATCTGCTAAGCTGATATTTAGATATGTAATAACATCCCAAATAATAGCTTGCACAACATATGAACTCTGTTCTTGAATCCCTGTTTGTAATATGGAATTCCTATTGGACCAAATCTCCCAAATAGTAACTGGAACGATGCCATTTAAAATCTTAGCTGTGCTGCAAAAACCAATCCACAATGCAATTCAAACTTGAAAATCTTGGGACCTGAATCTACAACAAATCAAAAACTCCACTCCAGATCTCTGAAGCAAACTTACAATAACAGAACAAATGATCATTTGAATCATCCCCAACAGATGCTACTTGCAAGAACAGATGCTACTTGCAGACCTCTTTTCTGTAAATTCATAAAAGATAAATTTTTGTTATATGAAATGATCACAACACTTAAAGTGATCCGAGGCCTACATTTCTTCCAACACAATCTAGCCCATTTAAACTTGTTTCCAGTAGCTCTGCAACAATTCCACGCTACTTTCAATGAAAAATTTCTATATTCCACTTAATTTAATCCCTGCTAGGTTGAATACTTATCTGTTGAATAACATTTTTCACATTTTCAGAAAAATCTTCAGGTAGATTCCAATTCCTATGTTGCAAAATAACAGACAAATTAGTTTGTCTATCAAAACCTCTGAACCCAGTTGCCCCAAATAACTGAATAAGAGATTGATCTTTACACCAAGGATCTGTTAACAATTTGAATTGTGTGCTATCTCCAAGCTGAAACTTCACATTGTCAAGAAGCATCTCTTTTGTCCCCAGCAGGTACTTCAAAATAGCTGAATCACTCACCTTTGGATCAACAAGCCAAAAGGTAGTCTTATTCAAGTACACTGCCCTCAACCATTGGTGTGTAATCTATATCTACATTGGTGTAAAGAACAATAATACTATCCTTATATATATATATATATATATATATATATATATATATATCTATATGTAAAACTACTATCCATGGGTAATTATCCATACCCATCAAAACTCTTATCCAAGTAGTCCATTTGACCATTTAGGTTGGTGTAATGACCCGGTCTTTTTCCTTCCTTTCTTTTTCTCAGATTTTTACGGGTATTTTTTTTTTCATTGATCTTTTTCCTTCCTAGGTTCAGTTCCTCGTCACTTAGTGTCATCTCGAGTGCTCTGGAGTGAGTTTTGAGACTCTTTTATTTGGATTGACAACTTCCTTTGAGAACCAAGTCAATTCCACATTTTTTTTTTGTTTTTCGACACTATTCACTTTTCGTCTTTTTCCCTATTTCGTCATTTTTCCTATTTTGTCCTTTCCCCGTTTTTAACTTTGTTGGCATAACCTCACTGTTTTTTTGTTTAGAGTTGGTTTTTGACTTTACATATCTTCGTTCTAAGTGGTTTCCACGAAATACATATCTTTATTTTTGTAAGAAAGTACTCTGGTTGCTCCCGGTGTCCAT